CATCCTGTAAGATGTAAGAGCAAATCGTCATAATGAAATATTGTGATCGTGTAGGTGGCTTTTACACCTTATGACAAGTGTACATTAACGTCTTATGACATTTGAGCTTTGATCGCTATTCAAGATAGACTGCTTTTAGACATAATCATGACTTTGACCGTAGACATGAACAAGTAGTCAATTCTCTTATCAAAATATGACCTGGATATATTTAATTCGTTAATAATTTTCGTTTCGTACAATGTAGATCAAATTCTTTATACTGCAATGAAATTGCCAAAGAACTGCGAATTATTTATAATCTAATCTGAAATACATGTACCATAATAAATTGTATTAATTTTATTGCTTTGTCGTTTATTTTCCAATATCGTTTTTAAATGAATTTTATAAATGATGAAGGTATACAAAACCATAATAAATAATGCTGATAGTACTATGTAGATATACTATGCTCACATTAGATATTTGAAAACATTTCAACTGTCACACAGTCTCTTTGTGTGAATAAAATAAACACGGGTTGACTTAACATTAAGTAGAAATGTAATGTTTTTAAATCTGCATAATATAGGTTGAATGTACAGTGTAATTAAAAAAACTGGTAGTTTTTGTAACAAAGGTCCAACTTTACTTGACCCGTTTTAGCGAATGCTTTTCATAGATTTCAATAAGTTTCTACGATTAAAACATTTTACCCACAGATGAGCATAGTATATATTTAAGTATCATACGCGACAAAAAACCATGATAGCATTATACGAGCGTGTATGTTGGTAAGGGACCAGATACACGATCCGATATTACATATCTATACCAGATAATAAATAATTCTAGACACGATTAGTATTTTTCAACATATAGATGGCCATATTGCTTAAAACTAGGTAAACATTTTTTTCTCAAGAAATGTTTTGTAAGAAAATGCAAATATACATCTCATTAATTTTATGAATATTTGAAACAGTTAAATTCAAAATGTAGCTTCATAGAACCATTTACATCAATATGGGCCTTTTCTGGATACACGAACTATTAATGAGAATTATATACGATAACTTTCGTGAGAAAAAATTCAATATGAAGTTGTTATTCCAGCCCAGTATCTGCTTCACAAGTCGTCTGTGTTTATAGGGGGTTGCGGGGGGGGGGGGGGGTAGCGCTCACGCAACCCAGCACTCTTCCTCGTAGTCCCAGCAAAAATGTTGAGTACCTCTCACCGCCGTTTAAACAGTCTTTACATACAATGGGCTTACGCATTGTAGTACCATTTCACATCGTTTTGCCTCTATGTAGCTTTTTCCCTTGGTAATAGTCAGCACATCGACAGCGACGGTGAGTGTTTCTACTTTAAATGGGATACAATTAGTGTCAAATGCCTGTTTGATAAGTCCTTGAACACCATCAGATTTTTTCTTCATAATTATAACCAGGATTTTTTTTTCTATTTCATTTTTTTCACATTACAGTTCTGTGTTTAAAAAACTACATTTGTATATGTATTCATAATTCATTAAAACATTTATCTTCATAATTCACCATATAGAAATAGAAAATTATTAATAAATAATTAACAAATTATAGCCTTTTAAAAACTTTTAAAAATGACAAGCCCGTGTGTTGAAATATAAGGCCGTTTTAAAATACATTTAATGTTGCTTTGATTGGCTGAAAAGCGAATTATTTGTGAATTTATTTAATTGAGGTGAGATGAACAAATATGTACACGTTTGTCATGTAAGACCGTCTACCAATTTTAGTTCTTAAATCAAAATGCAAAACATTCAATCGTCTATAATTAATAACAATCAATCAATCAAACAATATATAGGATAACAAAAGTTTATTAACTTAAGGGTAACAAAGTAAAAAGAAAAAAAGAGAATAAGGTCCCGGAATTCATTTCATTTTTTACAAATTTATTTTCTTAATAAATATCAATATTCCCTGAATATAAAATCCCATGTGTTGAATGTTCAGGATCATGACATCCTGTAAAAGAAATAAATTGCCGAATCATACGTTTCGTTTAAAACCATCAAAACAATATCTTGATTTAACATTTTTCTGTTCTTCTAGAAAATCCCGCGATGTCATCATGAATAAGTGTGATAATATGCTGAAGTTGTTCATAAATTTTTGAACTAGCTTTCACTGATTCATCATTTTCCATTGCTTTCTTTTTTTCGTGGAATTGATAATAAATGTTCCTGGTTGTACAATAGATGATCGGTTTTTTATTTAATATAATAGTACTTTGGTCAATAAATGAGTTTGTATAAAGTATGTATTGTTTTAGTTCAATTTAAAATATTTTCTTTCGTCGTGCTTTAGTGAATAAAAATGTATAAGCTCTAATCTTGGTATAATGTTCATTGTTCATTTTATTTACCATATCAATTAAGACGTCGACATTCACAATGGCCATCGATACAATGTCTGCTATTATGTCTACAGTGATTTCCAAACCAGTAATTATGGCAGTCATCCAAGCTATTGCACGCTGAAATACATATGTACATGTATTAATTAAAAGATAACATTTACTCATTTTATTTATGTATAGCTTGTTGAAGTCCGGCATCATTTGTCACATATTTGTTCTAAAAGCATCAAGTTGACACGGTTTATGTGGCTCTTGATTATTGCGGCATTTGCATGACAAGGGTCTTCACTTTACTTATTTATCGAAAGTTCAAGATTTTAATATTCAATGCTCATAAAGTCACAGAAATTAATACAAATATCTATGTAAAAGGCAAACCCATGTTGCTGTGTTTTAATGTTATAACAATGTGATATAATGTCTTCCATACTGAAAACTTAAGCATGCAATAGCCAAAACGCAAAAGATGACAAATGAGTATCGTAAATTAAACACTTGAAATAATAATAAATAAACTTCGAGATATAAAAAGTATTGCCTTTTATGGTTTAAATAAGCCTTTAATATTTATATATAGTTTATGCATAATATAGAGGAATTCATATTAGGATCACCTTTTTGTGATATTCAATGAATAATTGGAGTAGATACTTGGTCTATTTATTGTATCCAAATTTCCAGACAGATTAGATTTTAATCCAAAGCCCTTTGCTCGTAAAAAGGGGCCAACTTTGTATACTAGAGAACTGTAAAACGCACTGTTATATTAAAATAGTGCCGCAACAATTAAAATGAATGAAGTTTAAACACAAGTGATGAAGAAGAAGTTGGCAATCTTGATAAGTAACCTAATAAGGTAACGGCATTTAATCGTTTAACCTGATTGGTCGGGAGCTGTGTTACATGTGCAAATATTTGATTCACAAGTTGGCGTAAATCCGGGTGCACACATTAAATGTCCGCATGTTGTGGTATCCGTGTTGATACAGTCTTCTGCCGCAGAGATGCCTGGATATATTAGTGAATTTTTATTAATCATACGTTTTCAAATTCATTGGGCCACTCTCCAGTTTTACATTTGAAGGATTATTGTGTGTTATTTCTAACACGAACGAGTATCTTATAAGAGCGGGATTGTTGCCTCGATCAAATAAATGAAACGAGCTAGTCTTGGGAACCGGCTTAAGGAGATAAGGTTAATATTTTATTGTCAGTCAGTCACCTCATTCAAGGACGCATCTATTAAATGAAACTACAATTATGTAAAAAAATATAATAAAATATCATTGTTAAATATGATTACATGTATGTATTTTTTCATTATTTGAATTGTTACAAAATACGGCCTTCATGGGAACAATTGACTGTAAATTGATATGATTTTATCCTGAACTTCTATGGATAGTCATAATTATATAGAGCGGGCTTTATTTAGTAAATAAGAGTAGATCTCTGCCACTTTACACAAATGAAACGTATATGAACATATTTTACAACCAACAAAATATAAACACTGCTATTTGAAGGATTGCATATGACTTTTTATCAATAAACTAGGAAATATTCTACCAATGTCTTAATGCATTGTTACTTGTGCATGCTGCATTTATTGTAGCCATGTATGAGCTAAGATAAACTGTAACGGTTGTTGTAGGCGAAACATTTGCTTCTCGCGGGACCATAATCATCGCCTTTTATTATCATATCAAAGTCTAATTTGTGACATAACAACTTGAAAATAAACATTTGGTCTAGCCAGGTCACCGCCAATGATTAAAGTGGTGCACTGAATTATGACATAAGAGTTCTTCTTTAAAAGTAAACATACAAATTTTACAGTGCCCGTTTGAAACAAAAATCCGTTAATAATAATAACAAACGAATAATCAAAAAGGAAATAAAAACAGTATTTTTAGAAAAAAGAAAAAAAGTACAGCAGCTATCAACATATTTTATACGGAAGATAAACATGTACTTACCGATACAGACAACTAAAAGAAAGGCTATCTTCACGTACATGTTTATATGACGTCCTTTAGGCAACAAATTGTCAGAATGGAACTGCTAGTTGTGAAAATGGCTTTTATATGATATGGTATGAGAGGTGCGTGCGTTAGATTCTATAAATAGATTTTTTTTTCTCGTGTAAAGTAACAATTTATTACATTTGAGCTTTGATCTTTATTCACGATACGCTTCTTTTGGACAAATATGACTGAAAACATGCTCAAAACGTCCGTTCCGTACTTTTATCAAAATATGACAAGGTTTATGAACTAAAATGTGACAAACTTAAACCGTAAGAATTCGATGTCTCAAAAATGTTCAATAAAATTCAATATATCTTCGATCGGGGCTTGTATACTTTTTTGTAAAACAAATTTAAGATGATAAAGATAATTTTGAAACCCGCAATGACTTAAACGTTTTAAGGATTCCTTTTCGATTACAAAGTTGATATAATTTTGGCTATTTAAAGGAAGATTATTTTGGCACATTTTGTTATGTAATGTACTGAATTAACATTAAAGATAAGAAATTGGATAAATGCTTGCATTTAGAAATACTACCAAAGTTTAAACAAAGTTTAAACCTATCAATGTGAAATGGTAAATCCCCCAATCTCATTCATCACAAGTATCGCACTGAAATTGGCAGCATCATCTCAGTTAATCATCTACAATATTCACCGGGTGTGGGGAGTTGGAGGGGGGAGCGTTGGATGAACAAAACATGGGTCTCAAAGTTTAACATTGGTAAAAATATACATTGCCGCGTATCAAGATGTGCACCAGATCCCCTATTTGTAAAGCCGAAATCATGCCATTCACATGATAAGTTTTTAACTTCTTTAACCATGTTTTTTATGAAATTCAAAACTGTTTTGAAGAAAATCGAAAAATACATTAAACTCGTTATTTTCTCGCCATCACATAAAATATATTGAATTAAAAAATGTACCCAAAATCAACTGTGTTTTTTTAATACTATATTAAAGAATCTGATACTTGGAGTAGTATATGGATTTGATATGGAACTTTAGGACTCAGAACAAGGTTTGAAATACATGTATAATGGTTTACGTACTACCATCATGCTGTTGTATTTATCGTTACTTATGTTGATTTTCTTTACTAGAACCCCTATCGCGGGACATTATTGCTGTAAATATATAAATAATGAACAGAACTGATTGAGATGAAGCAAAATTATATTTACAAAAAGAAATGAACATACAAGCATACATGTAAAGTTAAATGTCACACATAAAAGTGTATTTAAGTAAATATGTATTAAAATATGAACACAGAAATGTTATTTCCTTCAGATTATGACACATCTTTTAAAATCAATGCACCAGAAATTAAAGTTCGCATATATATTTGATACAGTTAATTTCATGATTAGATGATTAATTTTTCAAAATATACATTATTTCTACGAAAGAAGTTCTATATATATATTTGTTCATAATGTCAACATTGATATTCTATAATCACAAACACTGGGCTGAGTAACCAACTGATCAATACAATGAAATAAATGAAAATATTCATACCATCGTTATGATCTAAACTCATTTTTGACCTAACCAAGATTAAAGTGACTGTACTCACTTTCTTCCTTTATTTATTTTTGATTATTATATTTTTATCTTTGTGCAATGTCCAAATGTCCAAATATTTCTCTCTCCGTTTACCCAACATAATCGTTTTTGTACAAAATGACAATAATAAATAAATCAATTTTCAATTTAACTTTGAGTATTACTAACCTTTTTATGATAATAATAATGAATAAAAAACGTATAATAAAAAGCGTTGAAATGTTTTTCACACAAACTGAGGTAAAAATCGTGCCAAAAGTCAATTTAACTCTGAGTATATTTCTTTATCATCATTTGAAAATGTTTGTAATTCCATTTGAAGAGATTTCTTGATCTGAGAAATAATTACAAATCTTATGTGTTAAGGTTTTTTGAAACCAGTTGAGTTCCTTTAAGATTCATCTTAATAATAAAACAAACGTTTTAATGATTTCATAATCTGAAGATTTGTTCTGCCTTTCGATAAATACACATACGAAACTTAATATTCTGCCGCTTCATTGCTGTCTGTTAAGTAATTTTTTTAACATTAATTCATTTAATCGTTTTGAAACATTTTACTGGTACATCATTACTAAAATAATCAGGTACAATAAGATTGATCAAATAACATATGAAAGAATTTAGCAAAGAATTTGGTTCCATCAAGACTTGTATCTATTTATAATTTCTCGTTCTTTTTAAGCACTTTCACGAAACACCTTTAAAGAAATATACCATGTTCTAAATAAATGACAGTGTTGTTGATCATTTTGTGGACAAAACTTTAAACTGGTTACTACGGCAACCAACATATACTTCATCATAGTGTCTACTGAAACATAACGATTTCGGACGGAATATATTTTCATGCATGATCTTAACTTGCTTCAAGTCTTCTCTCACTTGACAAATTGTTCCATTATAAGAACTGCAGACAAGCAATGACCCGTCATCTAATACCAACATTCCATATGGTCGTTCAAGATCTTCATGTTTATATGTATCTTTAATATCTGCTTCTAATGATACACTTACTATTCTGTCATTTTCAAAGTCACTGATGTACAGTAGCTGTGAATCATTTTTTACGGCAATATACGGGGTAAGAATATTGAGAAAGCTAAGATTGATATCATTCATGATATCACCTTTTGTATTCAGTACAATGGCACTAGGAGGAGACAAACAAGCAACATAAAGACAATCTTGGTTAAAGTCTATACCATAGCATTCCCTATCCACTTTAATTCTGTTGACACATGATAGCTTGACGTCTGTTGTCATGACAACTATTTTTTCGATACCAGGAATTGCTACTGCGAACTGGTCCTGAGACATTGCAGTAATATCCCATGGCGCTGACTCTAGAACTTTCTCTTCTTGTACAAGTCTGTTCTCTATAGATATCAATTTTACCTTTCTGTTGTTGAAATCAGCTAGAACTAATTTGTTCATGTTTATAACAGCACATCCCGTAATATTACAACTCATTTTGTCTGACTTAGTTTTTACATTGATATCTTGTATTTCGACCAGATTATCAACATATTTTGTTTTCTTTGTAGCTTCGTTACGAGGATGATTGACAATTTCACCAAAGAGCTTTTTCGTAGACAATAAGGTTTCGAGATCAACATTTCGTTTAAATGAATAGCACAAATTGGTGTTCATTAATGTTTCTTGGACTTCATTTAGTTCATCAGATTTCAGTGTAGACTCAGAACGCTTAATATCAACGTAGACTTGACCATTTTGATGACTTGCCCTGCTAGAACGAAGTCTTGACTGCAAGCTTTTAATATAGGAAATAATATTCCCGCATTTATCAAGGACATGTTGAACAATATTGTGAGTGTTTGACTTAATGCCTTTAGCATATTTCAAAACATCTTGTTGCATACTATCGAGACAGTCGTTTATTTCTTTTCGAAAGTCTGTAATTGCGTTGATGATTTCTTTATTGTTATCATTTAAATCACTCCTGCAACGTTTAGCTTTCTTAGAAATTTCTTCTGCTTCTTTTATTTTTTCATCGAGTTTCTGCATGACGTCATCAAATTGCTTGTCTTCTGCAATACCTGCGCATTTCTCAGGAATGTATTCAATTTTACACGTTCTATGGTCTGAATGTATGCAATCTTTACATCCGAGCGCATGGTGTGATGGACAATAAAAATTGATAATTTCTTTTCTGTGAATTGAACAATGTTCGGTGCATTCGTTGTATGGTTGTTGCATTGCATGGAGCTTATCAAAATCACATTTTCTTAGAATTTGGTGACTCCGAGATAGTTTTGCCTTCTTGTGACAATCAAGACAGTTACAACAAAGGTACTCTTGACAAGTCACGCAAAATCCATGGGCCTCTACGTGCTGACCTGTGGTAAGACATGGCTCACAACAGTAATCAAAGTCTTCTGTTGATCCTGCTGCTATTGATCCTAGCAGGTCTCTTTGTTTACGTCCTGATACGGCCATGTCTGAATTAATATAAAATAAAAAAGAATGTATATTTAAGCATTGACTCATATCTAAACATGTCTAAAAAATCTTTAAGTAGTTACCGCATTTGAGAGCTTAAGATAACGATTACTCGACTATTTTCCTTTTTGATCAAGTATAACGAAAGTCATCTTCAACGTCCGGAAATCACACTGTGTCGCCCGATTCACAGTCCAAGTATTTTTATATTGATCTAACCGGACGGTGATATGGTCCTGCGCATGCATTTCTTTAAATCTTTGAATCAGCTTACTTCCTTCCCACAACTACGCTTAGCCTCAACTAAATTTCTGCATTGTATTTCTCAGTCTTATCAATTTTTATTCATGACTGACTCATAAAAAATCTATTTACATGTAGATCTATAAGAAATATAAATAAATAAATTAAGTGTCCCCTTGTTGAATCATAATATCCATTATCGAAAAAAGTAGTTGATTACGATTTATAATTAAGACAAATGACAAACACTGACAGTGGGCCAAGAAGAAATACTATAATCTATAAAGAATAACAAGTCACTTAGATATAGTCCGAAAGAGCATGTATCACTGCACATTACCATCGTAAAGCGATAGTAATAATATAAAATTGCAATGGCACGATTGTAATGACGCGATGGTGTGTTTGTGAAAATGCGATGATAGACCTACGATGGTGAACACGAGGGGGCACGATGTTGAAAACGAGTTGGTAGGCCAATGTTGGGACATATAAATCTAAAAATTAGCACAATGGAAGGCCTCCAATGCTGACCACGTGACGACACGATGGGGAAAACGAGATGGTAAGCCAACGATGTGAGACGCGATGCTTTTGTGGTTAAAAAATCCACAATATTAGAATTGTAAAATCACAATGGCACGATAACGATATCATGTCATGTTTAAATGATAGATTCTTGCTGAAGTGATTGATGGCGGTTGTTATTTTTTAATCGAAGGTTACTTGTGTACTTTGCAAACCATTAATTCAGTTTTAAAAAGGATTTACAACAAATAGATATATTTGATAATAATTTCAATTAAAAATGCAAACACATACCACTTCGAAAAGAAAAAAAAGAAGAAATGATTTGACTTTCAAAGTACGAGTATTTAAAGAAACAAAGTCCAATCGTATTTATCTTACATATGTGACGTTGTTATCGTCCTTTGTTAAACCTGTTATCAGGCATATCACAATTCAAAAATCTTGTTCAAGATAAACTATATTCATTTTAATTTACTTCAAATTATTGGTGCAGCAAAAGGTCAACGCAAAAATTAAACAAGAGGGCCATGATGGCCCTAGATCGCTCACCTGACTTATCAAACTCATCCAAACAATTACCTAGACAAGCATTCTGACCAAGTCTTATGACAGGTGAGTCAAAAATGTGACCACTAAAATGTTAACAAGGATTATCCATATTTGAGCAGTGCGACCTAGTTTTTTACCCAGGTGCCACATATTCAAACTTGACCTAGAAATCATCAAAACAAACTTTCAGACCAATTTCCAGGATACTTGTATCAAAACAGTAGCAACTAGAGTGTTAACAATATTTTTCTATTTTTAGCTCCGGTGACCTAGTTTCACATGCGATTTCGAACTCATCCAAGCAATTACCTAGACAAGCATCCTGACCAAGATTGATGATAATTCAGTCGAAAATGTGACCACTAGAATGTTAACAAGGTTTTTCCATATTTGGGCGGTGTGACCTAGTTTTTCATCCAAGATGACCCATGTTCCATCTTGACTTAGAAATCATCAAAACAAACTTTCAGGCCAATTAACAGAAAATTGGATCACAACAGTAGCCCCTAGAGTGTTAACAAGATTTTTCTATTTTTAGTTCCTGTGACCTAGTTTTTCATCCGAGATGTCCCATGTTCGATTTATTCCCAGCAATGACCTAGACAAGTTTCCTGACCAAGTTTGATGACAATTGAGTCAAAATTGTGACCACTAGAGTGTTAACAAGGTTTTTTCTATTTTTAGCTCCTGTGACCTACTTTTTCATCCGAGATGATACATGTTCGAACTCATCCGAGCTATCACCTAGACAAACATCTTGATCAAGTTTTATGATGATTGATGTAAAAATGTGACCGCTAGAGTGTTAACAAGGTTTTTCTATTTTTAGCTCCTGTGACCTACTTTTTCATCCGAGATGACCCATGTTCAAACTCATTCGAGCTATCACCTAGACAAACATCCTGACCAAGTTTGATGATGATTGAGGCAAATTGTGACCTCTAGAGTGTTAACATGGTTTTTCTATTTTTAGCTCCTGTGACCTAGTTTTTCATCCGAGATGACCCATGTTCGAACTTATCCGAGCTTTCACCTAGACAAGCATCTTGACCAAGTTTGATGATGACTGATGCAAAAATGTGACCGCTAGAGTGTTAACAAGGTTTTTCTATTTTTAGCTCCGGTGACCTACTTTTTCATCTGAGATGACCCATGTTCAAACTCATCCGAGCTATCACCTACACAAGCATTTTGACCAAGTTTGATGATGATTGGTGAAAAAATGTGTCCGCTAGAGTGTTAACAAGGTTTTTTGCTATTTTTAGCTCCGGTGACCTACTTTTTCATCCTAGATGACCCATGTTCAAACTCATCCGAGCTATCAACTAGATAAGCATCCTGACCAAGTTTGATGATGATTGATGCAAAAATGTGACCGCTAGAGTGTGAACAAGGTTTTTCTATTTTTAGCTCCGGTGACCTACTTTTTCATCAGAGATGACCCATATTCGAACTCATCCGAGCTATCACCAAGACAAGCATCTTGACCAAGATTGATGATGTCTGATGCAAAAATGTGACCGCTAGAGTGTTAACAAGGTTATTCTATCTTAAGCTCTGGTGACCTAGTTTCACATGCGATTTCGAACTCATCCATGCAATTACCTAGACAAGCATCCTGACCAAGTTTGATGATAATTTAGTCGAAAATGTGACCACTAGAATGTTAACAAGGTTTTTCCATATTTGGGCGGTGTGACCTAGTTTTTCATCAAAGATGACCCATGTTCCATCTTGACTTAGAAATCATTTAAACAAACTTTCAGACCAATTAACAGAATATTTGGATCACAACAGTAGCCACGAGTGTGTTAACAAGATTTTTCTATTTTTAGCTCCTGTGACCTAGTTTTCATCCGAGATGTCCCATGTTCGATTTATTCCCAGCAATGACCTAGACAAGTTTCCTGACCAAGTTTGATGACAATTGAGTCAAAATTGTGACCACTAGAGTGTTAACAAGGTTTTTCTATTTTTAGCTCCTATGACCTTGTTTTTCATCCGAGATGACCCATGTTCGAACTCATCCGAGCTATCACCTAGACAAACATCTTGATCAAGTTTGATGATGATTGATGCAAACATGTGACCGCTAGAGTGTTAACAAAGTTTTTCTATTTTTAGCTCCGGTGACCTACTTTTTCATCTGAGATGACCCATGTTCAAACTCATCCGAGCTATCACCTAGACAAACATCCTGACCAAGTTTGATGATGATTGAGGCAAAATTGTGATCTCTAGAGTGTAAACATGGTTTTTCTATTTTTAGCTCCGGTGACCTAGTTTTTCATCTGAAATGACCCATGTTCGAACTCATCCGAGCTTTCACCTAGACAAGCATCCTGACCAAGTTTGATGATGATTGATGCAAAAATATATAGAGGCTATTCGTTGCCAAAAATCCAGCCATTGAAACTTGACAATGCATACTTCGGTTCTACTAAGCAGATTAGTAAAATCTAATTGTCGATCCGAGAGTTACATACTGCACTGGTATTAAGCATTTTGATTATCTCGATTTGATAAAATGAAAGCTGTAAACATGCAACTTAGATAAATTGCAAACTGTATTTATAAATGTATAACTTCAAATTTGCGACATGTAGAAATGTAAACGATAGAACGTACACAATACGTTTAATGCTGTGCATCATGAAGTTGAGAATGTAACTGCATCAACTTGACACACTCAGGTTTACAACACCACACTTTCCTTTTACATTCTAACGCGATTAACATTTACGATATTGTGCTTGTTTCATTAGATTTTTCTTCTAACATCTTATCTGTGTTATGTAGGCTACATTTTACAAGCTGTAGAATTTAAGACCTTTCAACATTTCATTGGCTTTAGTTCCGCCGTTTGTTTTTATCGTTTAAGCAACACACTTTCTTTGACTTGGGGACCATTTTGTGATACGTCACTTTTCATGGAATGACACGTAAGTGTCTCATTGTAGTTTTCATAATAACTGCCGCATGAACACATCTTCGAATGTTTTTTATTTCATGTTTTAATGTTGACTTCTGCTTAAGCCGGTGCTAAGGGGCATGGACAGTATTGCACTTTGCAGTATCCATCATGAACAGGCACAATCAAACCTAGCATGCAACATGTTTAGTTTGTCGTTTCAAGATTCTTAAGGGATTCCGTTTTTTTCTATTTCATTTTTCTTCACTGACTATATGTTACATGGTGAATGAAATAGTTACCTTTACTTTCCTGTCTGCATGTTTAAAATGAATCTGACAGGATTGCCGAAGAGCGCCCAAAACGGCAAAATTTAAAGTTGCAGGCTCGATTTGTTGAGCCTTGTTCCTGGTACTGGAAAGTACAATCTACAGCCCTACTGGTCACGCCCCCCTCCTCAAGCACCATATTTAAACACGTAAACAATTGAAAAAAATATCAATCAAATTTGATGAAAAAATATTTCTTACCTTTCCAGTTTTTGGTTATACAGTTTACTTTATATAAGCTTTCCAAATTGATCAAGATCAATTATAAAATATCGTGTGTTTAATTTAATCAAATCATATGACCTACACGTTTATCTCTCATTACCTTACTTCCGTTTATAAAAAAAAACGTCTATTAATAGCACGTTCTAATTTATTTAAGGCCAGTTATGATAATTTTTTTTCCGCAGTTAACTCCCATTGATAATAAAGAACCATGTCAAATAAGATAATTATGTCATAAGAATACAAGACAAAAGAAAATGTTAATGAGCGTAACTTTAAAAAGATACAATGTACGAGTAAAACACTAGTTTTTAAAAAAGATAAACTATATTTGTGAAAATCAGTCATTGTTAAAATTTGAAGAGGGGGTAATTATTGCATAATCGATCGCTGTTTGAAACTCGCCCCTCTTAATTTTCAATTTCCCATGATAAAAGAAATGCTGATTTTCTGATATAATGTTCCTGTTCGTTTAAGAAGATTAATTTTCTTTTTACTTTTAACATTTTTATTAAGATGAATTATAAAAGTAGATTATATAGTTTTCTTGGTGATAATGTAACATTAAGTTTGATATGGTTGTCTTAGCCAAGAATGACCTCAGTTCCATTTGCACAAACAATTCCTAAAAGGTAGCGATGGGACAAGAAGCAGTTAATGACCAGGGATGTTTCTAGACAATATGATTATTTCTGATTATCTCGATTGACAACAAAATAACTGACAGTCTGTAAACGTATCAGAAACTCCGGACCGGAGGGTGATTACACATCAAAAATGTCATTATCTCCCATGGTATCAAAAATCATGAAAGTTTGCAATAGTGCAAGGAACAGTCGCAGACTAGTGCAATGCACTTCGGAGTATTTCCAGACATCAAATATGTCATAATGTCAATTGACATCGAAATTCATGAAAATCTGAGACTATATAAACGCTATATTTAATGTAAGAAAGAGGTTTTTCTGTCCTTTTATCACTTAAAATAATTTCAAAGTAGCTGTGAGAATGAGTTATTCGATTGAACTGTAATGTTATAAACCCCATGCATTTAAAGCCAACACAATTCTTATGCGCCATGTTATTGTAGCAATCATTTCATGGTATAATCATTTTCTTTCTTTTATTTCTTATTTCCTTTTTTGTATTTTCTGATCGCAGATCAGATAATACATAGCTACCATTCACGGTCTAACACAAAATTTCCTAACAGTCCTAACAACGCAAATTAGTTCTCACTCAAAACTGCTTAAAAACCAGCAATTTAAAAGAAAGAACAATTTTTTGTTACAAGTGTCCAACAAATAACTACACTTCAAACTTTTAAAGTAGCGTTGGCTTATAGAGTTGTCAATAAATGCACACTCACAAATTACGCGGATGAATATGACTTTAATCAATGAAAATGCTATTTTTAGCGATGTCGATTACCGAATACTACACAAATAAATCTGACTGGCGAGTAGTTGAATATATAGTTTCTACATGTTGGACTGTTTGGGCGAGAAGATTTTTGCTAAATTATTTACTTCAATTTTAAACAACAGGTTTACCCTGAACAAAATACCTCGAAATTACCCTAACCCGAAATGCAACGGAAATTCTAAATTTAGAATGACTTGATTTTATTCAGCTTTTGGTTATAAAACTTCTCCGTGGTGCAGGGGTAACGCGCTCGTTTAGTGTGTGAGAGATCTGGAGTTCAAATCCCAGTCGAGTCAACATTTTTTTAATTCTTTTTTTTTTTAGTGTCTTTGTTAAGGAAATAGCCACGTCATGCAAGGATAAAGTGTGGCTATCATCAAAAAAATTAACATAAATTATTTTTTGATGCAACTCTAGTTATGCAAAATTCCGTATGTATCAAACTCTGGTGCCCTGCAAGATGACTTATAGTACATAAAAATAAACTTATACAGGAAAACACATACAGATATACAGTACGATTTAGATTGCAGGGATCAGAAAATACCACTGAGCTTGCAGCCCTTTGATTTATCTTATTTTCATTTATTTTCTTAGACTTGTAAACGTTTGTTATAGATGAATATTGGGTTAGTTAATCTCGTATAAACAATAAAATGACAACACGCACCAAACACACATTGCTTGGTGAAAACTAAAACTTTTTTTTTAATTTGTAATTTCAAGTGGCTGTATAATATATATGCATTAAAGGTTTATGAACGTGAAGAAAATATATTGAAGAGCACACTATATTAGTATCATGGAACAGTTTTTTGTTGTAAATAAGCACATTCAAAACATTACATTCTACGTTACTAGACACAAAAGGATTCATAACTGTTTTAAAACTTTATTTCATTAAAAGTACGATTTCACTACATTTTTGAACATTTGAACAAAATTCATCCGAGAAGACCATGGTGTTGAATATTCCTTCCCTTTCAAAACGCACTGGAAAAGAACAATAACCACCTATTTCATGTGCATAAGATAGAATACAGATATCAAACTCCTCATCGTGATTACCTCCCTTGGCAGGTTGTACTGATAAGGGGAGATCACTGCGTAGGAGATGGTACAGATATACGAGTATTAGAATATGTTCATCACTGAATAATGAATGCGGTTTAAAAACTGATTTCGAATATTATCTTTTATTAAATATATTTGTATTGGATTAGAATAGTTTTATCCATAACGAATATTTGAATTATAATTGAATATTTGCATTCTTAACATATATATTTAAATTGAATCAGATTAACTATATTCATAATGAATATATCAATCCAATTTTTGTAATTGAATTCGAAAACATTTTTTTTCATTCAAAACGAATATTTGAATCCGAATTTCGAATTGTATTTGAATATTAACATTCAAAACGAATATTTAAATCAAAATTTTGAAATGAATGCAAATAGTTGCATTATTTACAAACAAATTAATAAACTAGCAAAATCAATGACATTTTCTCAATTATTCTCACTCTTAAGGAATATTAGAATACGAAGTTTAAATTAAATTCGAATATTCGATTCATTATAGTACTAACTACGATTTAAAACATTTTTCCCCCGTGAAATAAACCGATATTTTTAACAAGTAAAATACCTTGTCTATAGGCGCCGACATTCGCAATGTCCGTCTATACAGTGTCTGTCCCTAAATCTACAGTGATCACTGGCCCAGTAACCGTCACAGTCACTTAAGGTTGCACATGCTGTAATATAAATATATCATGGGACATCATGCCTACCATAAGCATCTTTCAATAACCATAAAGAAAATAGTGATATTGGAAGAATATTATCCGAAAGCTTTACAAATCACTAATTTCTTAAATCATGGGTGACCTCTTTCCCACCCCGCCCCGGACGTGGCCAGTCGCCTTCTGGTAGAGGGCAAAACGCCCATTAGGAGCATAATATAGACTGACATAGAAGGTAGACCTAAACACGTATTCAAAAATATACATCCGTGCAATAAAACGGCCTTAACATTTCAATATTTTTCATTTCCTACAAACTTTTTTGATTTTTCTATAGTCATTTAAAAGCCACGGTCATTTGGACGACCACACGCGTTCTTTGGCGCCATGAAGCTGACGCTGATATAATAAGAATAAACGCTGATAGCTCGGTGCTTTACCTTCTTTTATTTTATTATTATTTTTTTTATCATGAAAATTCTTTCTTTTAAGCGTCTTCAAACCACGATGATGTCTCTTTATCTTTGTTAGGGTGCTATATTATGTTTTATATAATAAAAACAACTTTTGATAACTTCGAGAGTGATTGTATTATGAAGAAGTAAATAACCAAGTATATGTCGTCGGCCTCGGTTAATATCACATAAGCCAGGGCCATTAAATTAGATATTCACTTCATCGCACAATATTTATAATAATAATTGCTTGAAAATTAACAGTTTCTAAAAAAACACGTGGTTAATTACTAAAAATAAATAGCAAGACGCCCGAGATCTCGTTTGACAGACGACTCCATTTTTTTTTGAAGTTGATTATCTTCATGTTTTTGTTAACAAAAATGTGGGTAAATCATATTTTGGACTTTGACCTTTTACATAATTGTAGGAAAATGGATAGATTACAATGCCAGATTTGGTTATAAAGGCTGGTTTTTGCACAGTTTTTGTGACTGTTGATGAACAGTAAATATTCTGGTAGCCTTCACTTTTGGGATCGACTGATAACTTTACTATCGCATAACGTAAATGTAAACAATGATAGTAAAAAATCAACAGCAACAACAATAACAACAACAACAGTATAAGAAAATAAAACAAATAAACAAACAAACTTATAAAGTTATGGAATTATGTCAGAGCTACTTGCATGTTTACTTAAAAATGGATTGCTACTCGGTAGAAAGACTGTGTATCTTTGACAAAGCAGCAATGGATTCACTCACGTGTCAATTATAACATAGAATTAAAAAAATAATAATAAAAATTCTGAAGTATAAAATTACTTGATCTATCTGGTGCTGGGTCGCACGTGCACACATTCGTTACACAAGTAGGTGTATATCCATCGGAACATAATACGTGCCCACAAGTTGTGGTGTCAGTATTCGTACAATCTTCAGCAAAACTCATGCCTAAATTTGATAGAGAAGAAAATTAATTAGAATCAAACTGTTGCTTGCCCTATAAAAAAAGTCTACTTGAACACAGGAACTTGAAATTATATCAATATTAACGATAATATGCAAAATCTACCCCCATAAAAATATAAAAGTATATAAGGGGTATTTTTGGATATTATCATTTATATTGGTTATTTGATAGAATTTCAAGTTCCTGTGACTTGATTATCATAGTAATGTTTTAAATAAAGATTTATTCATATAATTGCCATTATATATATATTTTTTCAGCATTTATTTCTGGGTGAAAATGAAAACATAAGTAACAGCGGCAACTTGAGAACAGCTTCAGAACTTCCGGTGTAATCCAGTTATAAAAGTAAAGTAAAAAATATCGAACATCATTTTATGCCAGCCCGCATAGCTCAATCGGTTAGAGCACGAGACTTGTAATCTCGACATTGTGGGTTCGATTCCCGAGCTAGCCAACTTGAATTAGTAATCAGTCTTTCGGATGAGACTTA